AAGGTCCTCGGTGGTCATTATTTTAGTTTTCTTTATGTTCAGCATTAAAGCCTGCCTTTGTACTTTCTTCTTTGATCTTCCTTAGTAGGTTTTCCAGATCTGTGAGGTTTTCTGCTAGTATTATGGTGTCATCAGCATATCTTAAATTGTTGATATTCTTTCCTCCTATTGGATTGGATGTTGAATGCAATACACAGAAGAATTATACAAAAGATGACAAAATGAAAGACACATGGAATGAAGAGCCACATGAAGATGAACTCCAAATCCTAAAAAGTGAGGTGCAAACTGCAATAAGAGAAATAGCAAAAAACAAATCACCAAGAACAGATGATATTCCAATTGAACTGCTGCAATCCATATTGCCAGAGTCAACTCTAGTGCTAACTAACATATATCAACAGATATGGAAAACAAAACGATGGCCAACAGATTGGAAGTGATCAATATACATCCCCATCCACAAAAAGGGAGACATAAGAGACTGCAGCAACTATAGGACCATAGCACTGATCTCCCACGCAAGCAAAATCATGCTCAAAATTCTGCAACATAGACTCCAACCACATATGGAGAGAGATCCCAGAGGTGCAAGCAGGGTTCAGGAAAGGAAAAGACAACATTGCAAACATACAATGGCTAATGGAGTGCACCAGGGAATTGCAAAAGAAAATCAGTGTGTGCTTTATAGACTATAACAAAGCCTTTGACTGCATAGATCATGAAAGGCTATGGAACACCCTTAAAGACATGAGATAGTCCTAATGAGGAATCTGTACTCAGGACAAGAGGCTACTGTCAGGACAGAAAACGGAGAAACAGAATGGTTCCCAATTGGCAAAGGAGTCAGACAAGGCTGCATCCTATCGCCCTATCTGGTCATTTGTGAGTGGGTAGTCTTCACAGAAAAAAATGTCATGTTTGGCAGGAGTGGGGTGGGTTAGAGTAACTGATGTGTCTCATTGCAGTTGAATTTACACTGTTGCAATTGATTTAGACACTGTATCTAGTACTTTGTGCAAACTTGAAAAAGATACATCCTTCATCATGTTTCTCCTTAAAAGACCCACAAGTGACTTAATAGAAGGAAACTCAAAACTTTTACCTTGTAGCCTTGCAAAGCCAGTATTTGCTCTTAAATGGAAACG